GATTGCTGATCTGTGATTGCGCTCAAGGGGGAACAACCTGGAATCGATTAGGCGACTGTCTGTGTCTTCGAATCTGTCCTCGCAGTCTTCGGATTACTGATCTGTGATTGCACTCAGGGGGAACCAACCTAAGATCGGTTGAGCGACTGTTTGTGATACAAAAAGATTGGAGAAAAGCAGAAAACCCGCATGGACACGAAAGGGAGACTAAGATCGATAGAGCCGTCGATAAGGAGAGGGGGCACAGCGAGAGAGCCTGCCTTTATCTCTCTGTCTCTCCATGTGCAGATCCTGTGGATGGCGTTGTCTTTTCGAAATTCGCAATGTGAACCATTTAAAAACCGCACAAAAGAAATATAARAGAAAACGTATAATTATCTTCCTGTTGCGCGTCGCTTGTCGAACATGAAATGGCGCTTCGCATGAAGACGACGAGCGTTCTTTATCGTGTCACGACACAGGATGCACCGCGAACGGTCGTGTGCGTGTCGGCGAGAGGAAGAGTGACGAAAAATGTGAAAAATTTGACGACTGTAGAGGACAATTTACGGATATAAAACCGAACGCCAAGCGAACTTGCGCGGAAAAACGAATTAACAAACCGAGCGCAATACACAATAATTCGGCGAGAAGAAAGTCCACGTACAATCTAGAAGAGAGACGATTCGTGAGAATCCATGTTTTCATGTTCGACAACATACGACTAAAAACCTTATATCGAAGTTCATGAGAAAGACAACAAATTGACGAGACGCGAGAAACACTTCAAGAAAACATCTGAAGTGACGACATAATCTCGAAGCGCGTGTTACAACATTCTCGGGCTGCATTCACGGGTCCCGTTTCGTTGGTGACCACTCGCCCCGATCAGATGGCACACTCACACGTCCATGCGTCACCTCCTGAACATGCGTGGCCACGCTCATGGATGCGGGGCTCTGTTCGACAACATTCCGTTGTCGCATAGAGCCCCGCATCCATCAGCGTGGCCACACTTGTTTAGAACGTGACACGTGGACGTCTGAGTGTGCCATCTGATCGGGGTGAGTGGTCGCCAATGAAACGCATGCATTCTTGCTCACGAAACTCCTTCATCTCGCCCCGATCAGATGGCACACTCACACGTCCACGTGTCAAGTCCTGAACATGCGTGGCCACGCTGATGGGTGCGGGGCTCTATTCGACAACATTGTGTTGCCGCATAGAGCCTCGCATCCATTAGCGTGCACACGCTTGTTCAGGACCTGACACGTGGACGTGTGAGTGTGCCATCTGATCGGGGCGAGTGGTCGCCAATGGAACGAGATCCGCGAACGCACCCCAAGGTAAGTTCGCGAACAAAACAGGCCAACGCATAAGACGAACGAATTAGAGGCACTGAAAAAAAACTAACGATGGGGACGATGATGGTAGTTGAACACGACGGCACACACGTCTACGTGTCAAGTCCTGAACATGCGTGGCCATGCTGATGGGTGCGGGGCTCTATTCGACAATATTTTGTTGCGCATAGAGCCCCGCATCCATCAGCTTGTCCACACTTGTTCAGGACCTGACACGTGGACGTGTCAGTGTGCCATTTGATCGGGGCRAGTGGTCGCCAATGGAACTGAATTCG